AATATTCTGACGATTATGTGTGGTTGCTCACTTATTTTCCCATTTTTCACTCACTTGACAACCTCAGCATCTTGAAATACATTTTCCTGGAGCATTAAGTTCCGGGAACAGGAGTCACAAAGGAAAGAGGAATCCCTTTGGCTTTTATTAATGTGTGCAAATCCAAAAATTCTGTTAGTCTCTTTTATTGGTGATTGTGAAGTTGCATGCTTAATTGTCTTTTTTTGTGTGTAGGATGCTCTCCTTGCTAGCATAGCTGAAACTGAGAAGCAGACTGAGCTGGCTGTCCTGGTTTCATCTTGGAAACAGAAAATTGAGCAGGACCTGAAAGAGCAAGTAATTAGTCATGTTTTGTTTGCCTTTAATTTTTAATTGCTTTTTGAGTTTCTTCTTTTTCCAGTATAAGTTAGATAGTTATTTTCCTTTTTTCTAATAGGATTCACGCTCTCCATTTGATATTCATGAATATTGCACAAGGATTCTTGACAAACTCTCTCTGGAAGGAGACAGCGGAAACATCACTTCTTTTGCTGATGTCGTGAAGGGCCAACAGAAACATGATGTGGCTCGAAGTTTTTCAGCACTTCTTCAGTTGGTAATTCCCTTGCTTATGTTTGAATTTTGGTTCGTAGCATTAGCCCAAACCAGAATGGTTAGTTGAAAGATCAGTTAGCTTTTGTTGTCTAACTAGATTTATACTTATTTCTTTCTTGACCTCTTTTACAAGTTCTGTGTCTCCAAATAATATTCGAGGGCAGTTGGTTGAAGCCATTTGAAAAGAACGGCTGAAGTTATCTGTGTGACATAAACAAATTTGATTTTGATATTTGAATTTTCAGGTGAATAATGGAGATGTGGATTTGGATAAGGGTGGAGCTGTAAATGGTTCTGTCTGCTATGCAGCAACGAATCCTTTCCATATTCGGCTACTTAACTCTGGCAGGACAAAAGAGACGAGACAAATTCGATTGTCAAGAAAGAGAGTTAAATCTCCAATCAGAACCAAAGGGGACAGAGAGAAATCTACAAGGAAGCCAACATCTCCAAATGCAAAACTTTCTCCGGGATGCAGATCAAATTTGTTGTCGTCACAACAACCTAGCAAATTTCCCAGGAAGCCCGGAAAGCAGGGTGGCTTGAGGTGTACGCCTGAAAGCAAGAGGAGGCGAAGGTCTCGGTTTGTTGAATCAATTGACTTGCATTCTGCAGGATATTCTTAAAATCAATTTGTTCTCTGCAGCGCAAACATATCGAAAATAGCAAGATTATCCATTGTATTTCTAGTCTGTAGATTAATTGAAAACAATCAGCTCTCCTTTGTAACACTTCATTCTAAGCTATTCCTCATATAAATTAACCAGATCCCCTGTAATAGCACTCTATCCCAAATTCAAGATTAGTCTGATGATGTGTATAATAACATCACTTGCCTTTAATAATTATCATGTTACATATGTACATATATATATATACATATGTATAATGTCATATTTATTTATATCAAAATTAAAGTAACTTATCCATTGTGTTGGTTCAATAAAGCCTTAAACGTCTAAAAAACTCAAGGAAACAAGATTTCTTACACACACACATATATACATACATATATATATATATATATATGCTTTGAACTACTTACCACTCATGTTCAATAAGTTACGTAACCACCCGAAGTCTTCTTTTCACACACAGACGTCTAAAATTTCGAAATATATCATTCATCCAATTTTTCTTTTGATTGTTATTTTGTTGGCCTTGAAAAAAATTAATTTATGAGAAATCACCCTGCAACACAAGAAAATTAGTGTTCATGTAGAAAATAAATTATATATTGAATTGAGTTTTTTTTAAAAAAAAAATTACGTATTTATTAATAAATTAATTAATAAAAGTAATTTTTAAATAAATATATATATATATGTGAACATAACTCAATTCAAATTTACTACCAAATTTTCTTTTCTTCAACTCTGTACCGGAATGTGGGTCCAGGGACTCTTAACCTTTCACAGAATTCACCAAGTGTGTGTCCGGGCGCTCGAGATCACGTTGCCTGCAAGCTTACAGTCTTTGACTTTGACTTTGACTTTGACATTGGTGGGAATTTCTTTCCATCCATGCCACGTCACACCAACCAAGCAAATGGATACATTATTATTTACAAAAGGAAAAACAAAAAAAGGGACATGAAATGTCTAAAATACCCTTATTTGTGTTTAGACTTTTAGGAAGGGGACAAAAACTTTGGTGACTTTTGCAGCAGGTACAAAACGCGTGAGAATAGAAGCAAAACGACAAGCCCTAACCCATTTGTTAAAACAAGTGAGGGGACCCCACCACCTGCGTTGTTTAGGTTTAACCAAAAAATGATTAACACTAATCATAAATTATTTAAAGAAAAGTGAATGGGTTGTGGTTATGGGCGGTCCGGTCAAATGCAGGCAGCTCGAGCTAACAAGCCACCCACTGTTCTGCGTGCGTGCGTGCGTTTTATGTGTCTCGAGAAGTGCCCAATTAAGTTTTTTTTTTTAAAAAAATAATAATTAAAATTTATTTTTAATAATATTATAATATTTTCCAAATTTTATACTAATTAAAAATAATACTATATTTATTGAATAAAATATTAAGAATTAGCCTTAATTATAGCAATAATTTTATATAATTATTGAAATGGGTATTATGATAAATTAATTAGACACACATGATGCCCGTGATCAAATTTCTTGCAAGACCATGCTTCACAACTCATCAATGCCGGTATGTATATACATACATACATATATATATATATGTGTGTGTGTAAGAATCTAGGTGAAAGAAAAAGGGGTGTTTGGAAGTTTGAAAATAACTAATTTAAAGTGGATTATCTCCATTTGTCTAAGACACACTACCAAGAAGAATTCTGATACGTAATGAGTTCCAAAATGATCTGTTGCCAAACAGACCACTTCCTGCCGATTGGGACTTCTCTCTTTTTATTTTTAGTAATATTTTAAATTACGATATTGAATCCTTTATATATAGATATATATAAATTCATATTTATTTTAATTATAGAAACATATAAATTAAATTATATTGAATTAATCTTCTATAAAATTTTATTTTGCAGTTATGACAAGTGTGTTTTAATTATAATTAATTATAAAATTCAATTATTTTTTAATAATTTACCCATTAAAAATTATGAATGAATCATTAAATTATCTTACGTTTCAACGAGCATCATAATATCTTTGGGAGCTGGAGTTACTTACATTGATTATATATCGGACCAAATCTATCCATTTTGTAAGTAAATATTTATTATATATTTGAATATAATTATTATTTATTGAATAATACGGATGTTGTAAATAATAAAATAATTAAGATTAATTCAGAACCAAAAATTACTTTTATGTAATTAAGAATTATTTTCAAATGAAATGTAAATATATTATATATATATATATACAGAGTCAAACATGCTTCGTCTCCAAAAGCGTGCCGCCACGTGTTCGACGTGCATACTGACGTAAGCCGAAATGACATTTATACCCCCGGATGTTTTATCCCACACTGCCGCCACGTCGCTGTTACGTGTACAACTGAGTCAACTCTCACCGAGTCGCGTCTCTTCCGCTCTCAATGTCCGATTGGGTAACCGACCCACTACAACCCGCCGACGGAGAAACGGAAGCTCTCCTGTCCCTACTCAGAATCCTCTTAAACGACAACATCCGACTCATCGGGGATCTAAACTGTTGACTCGCCGGTGAGTCACACGACTCGGACTCGAACCCTTCGTTGTTCCTCCTTGGCACCTCGATTGCCAACGGTTTCCGTCGAGCCCCAAACGACGACGTCGAGGCACCTGTCTGTTCCTCCTCGTGCTGGCACGTCGAACACAACCGGGGATTCGAACCCGGTTCATCTCCGGTCGGATCAGGTATACTGATAGCTACATCAGCAGGGTTATCGGTTACAGAACCAGCTTCCACAGGGTTCCGACAGAGAGGGCATGTGGAGTGAGAATGAAACCACATGTCAATACAATCAATGTGAAAACTGTGATTGCATTTGGGTAGCAGCCGACCCGATTCGTTCTCCTCAAACTCTGATAAGCAAACGGCACACTCGAGCGGATCTGCGTGGGTTTTGGAGGAGAAGGTGAAGATCGGGAGGGACTTGAGCACGGCTGCGTCGAGGCCGCGCGTGGCGGCGGAGTGTACGGGTTGTGCGGCGGTGGGGTCCACGTAGAAAACAAGGTGAGTACGACGATGCCGGTTTCTGCGACGGAACTGACGGCGTCGAGCTCGGAGAAGATACCAGCGAGCGTAGAGGTGGAGACAGACCATGAGGATGACGACGAAGAAGAGAATAATTATGGCAGTTAGCATTATCTTACCGCTTAAGGCATAGCCGCGATTGGGGAAGTCTCCGGCGGGTATTTCTTCTGGGATGGAGTCAGAGTCACCCATTTCGGGAAAGGGCACGGCAGAGAGAGAAGGGGTTTGGTTGAGGAAGGAGAATAGGGGAGATAAAGAGGGAGGTGATGGGGATTATGGAATAAAAGGAGGGAGAGAAGAAGTGGAAGAGGAGGAAAGTTCTTGAGAGTTTCTTAAGGGGCTCAGCGTGAAGGTTTTCCACCTGCTCTGCTAATCACTCTCTTAAGACTGCTAACAGACGCCAATGTTGACGCGGGATTCTTCTTAAATTACATTGATACCCTTTTTTATAACTCATATATATTATACTTCTACTCCATTATTATGTAGTTTAAAAATATATTTTGAGTTCAGTTCACATTTTACCCAACACACCATAAGCTTTCTTTTTATTTTTCTTTTCTTTCGCCTCCTCAAAAATGGGAGGAGAGAAAGGATATTTGCAGTTAGATGGGCTTTCAAATGGGCCTTTAAATGGGACGGACTCAAGAGGGGACTGGCCTCAAATTGGGCACGAGATGAGCCTTAAAGTGGGTCTTTAAATGGGCCCCCAATGGTCCCGAGATGGGTCTAAAAATGGGCCTATATGGGCTTTAGATTGGCGTTATACGGGCCTATAAATGAACCTTAGACGGACCTTAAAATAGACCTTAAATGGGCATTAAAATGGGTCTTGTATGGGGCACTGTATGGCTTCAGTTGGGCCTGAAATTGGGCTTAGATGGGCATCATATGGGCCTTTCTCTTTCTCTCCTTCCCTCTTCCATCTTCTCCAGATTCCTTGCGCCCGCGCCCTTCTCTCTCAAATCTTAATGGCAGAAGCCTCTACTCTATACCTCTCTCCTTTCTCTTCCCTTCCTTCCATTTCTCGGTCCAGGGAATCCAATTCATCCGTTTTCTCTCCGCTCAAATTCTCCACAATTTCTCGTCCTCCTCGACCCTCCTGCTTCCCTACGCTTCACCGTCAAAAGCCTCGGACTACGCGGACGAACCTTTCAGCTTCTTTTCCATGGTCTGATGGCGACGGCGGCCAGTTATTACTTCCTTTTGCACCCAAGTTTTGTTTTGTTTGTTGGGTACTTGACACGATGGTCGCAGGAGAGTTTGTTTCTATTCGATTAATGGGATCTATATCTATTGTTTTCTTGATTTACTTTAACATTTTTAAAAAAATATATATTATGGGTTCAGTTCACATTTGTTCCCACCATAAATTTTTTTACTTTTTTTTTTTGGTTTTGGCCTTTTCTAAAATGGGAGAAAAAAGGATATTTGTGGTAAGATAGGCCTTCGAGGGCCTTAAAATGGGCATTAGATGAGCTTTAAAGGGCCATAGACGGGCCATGACGGGCCTTAAAATGGGCATGAATGAGCCTTAAAATAGACCTTATATGGGCTCTAGATTGTCTCTATATGGGCCTTAAATGGGCGTGAAAATAGGCCGTCCGTGGGCCTCATAATGAGCCTTAAAATGGGCCTTTCTTAATGGTATCTTTGTTGTCTTTTATTGTCTTGTTTGGTTTTCGGCTGACTTTTTAAGACACTAGATTTCAACCCACACTTTCTTGGATTAATTCCCAAATATATATATATATATATATTCACAATTAAATAATTATTCTTTACACAACGTCCGTATATACATATAATGCGTGTCTAATTAAAATAAATAAAAAATTGATAAAAATAATTAAAAATGTCATACAAAATAGACTACCATAATTTGATAATAGATATCTTGGATAAAAAAGTAATACACGTACAAAGTATATTATTCTATTCAACAAATTAAAGGTGATCAAGTGTTTTGCCCATTCATAGTTGAATCGTACGGTGTAAAAAATTCGAAAATATTTTGTAAGAAAAAAATTCAGCAACTACTCTTTATAGTCCCATGATTCACCTTCTCCAACGGCCAATCCCATCTCCTACCTCGAGCCCCGAAAGTCATATTTTTCCACGTCCCACTTTTCTTCTCTCGTCTATCTTTCATTTTCTTTTGCAAAACTTTTCTGATTTCTCTAACCTGCAAAAAACAATCATATACACTACCTAACTCTACCCAATAGCAAATTCAAAAAATGTCTAACAAATCCCCAATTTTTCCAATGCCAGATCCTCAACATTTCAGTGACTATGGCTTTGACCCCCAGATTGACTACTTCCAGGTTCTTCATCTTTCTCCATCTCTTCCTTTTTCTCTGTTCGGTTTTTCTTTTTAAATTTCTCTGTTCCTTCGCTGACCCATTTTGTTTTTGTCCGTTAAAAGGTTTTGGAAGAAGCAAGGAGACACAAGCGGGATGTATCGAGATCTACAGACTCTTTACACTTCAAGCTTCAAAAACCCATTTCCAAGGACGATTCGAGGAAGCCCAACAAGATTAAAAAGAAGCGATGGTGGAGAAACGCTCTTCTCTTCTTCAAATGGAAATGGGTCAACCACCAGCTCGACGGAAATCTCGATCACGATGTGCATCAAGCAAGAGCTCGGGCTTTCAGGGCATCCATATCGGGTCCGGGTGTATATTACAGAGAGCAGAAGTGGGTCAAGCACTCCGTACCGGACCACCAGTCGGCCGTCTTCGGGTCCTCTCGCCGGAACTTTGACTCCGACGAGGAAGGGAGATGTTGAAATTCCGTACCTGAGTCTCAGGGAGCTGAACTTGGAGCAGCAGCAGCAGCAACAGAGGATCTCTACTTCTTCACTGCCTATATATTTGGTGACTTGATAACATAGAAATTTACATTAAATGTCTCATTTTCCATGTCCGATCTCATCTGCGTCTACACTCACTACCCAAATATCGATTTATTTTCCATTTCAAGTTTCCTGCAAAGGTGTTTTAATGATGCTTTGCACAATGGTGGTTGGAGACAGAAGAAAGGTGTGAGGGCGGCAAAGGCTGCATCCTTCGTACTTTTTAGTGTTGTTGGATTTGATGCTTACTCTTGGTTTCTGTAATTAATGGAGTCATCCATTCCTTGCTTTGACTAAACCTTTTTCTCCACTTTTTCTTTTTTCTTTCTGTACCCTTCAATTGAGTGCAGAGGAGGGAGCGTGACTGAAAGTGAGAGCACAGAGACTTTTTCTGAATTAAAAAAAAATGGGCTTATTGTCGAGTTAATTAGCAACGTTAGATTTCTTTGATTATATTATGGTGATCCATGCGCATGTTTTGAAATTGTAAATGGGTATTATTTTATTGTATTGGGTTTCAGTTCGGCATCAAGATATTAGGGTTTTTAAGAAGGTGACAGCAGCTATTCAATGTAAAAAATTCTAGAGTGACTTACAAGTAACGTTTGCTTATTGGTGTAGAAAGTTATAAAACTGTATAAAAGTAGAAGAAAATCTGAGAAACGGTATAAAAGATTTTATGGGATCCATTTGATAAATGAGAAGAGGAGGAGGAGAGAGGAGAGAGGAGATAACCGACAGTTAGGTTGTAACAAAGATATTTGGAAATTGAAAATGGAAGAAGAAATTTGAGGAATGGGAGAGAGGGTGAGAATGGTCAGGGTGTCGGGGTCGTTGTCAGGGGCAAAACCCTCCAAAATAAGGAGCGGCGGAGCCCATGTGCTTCGTCACCTGCCGATCACGTGATCTCCTTTTCTTGTAATGTGCTGCTGATTCTCGATTTGTCAGTTTCGTTACTTTTTTTAAATTTATTTGAAGATATTTCAAGTGGGAATGCAAGCATTAATGATAAAAAGGAAAGGATGAGAGAATTTTCTTACCTAAAATGGCATTTGAGGTGTAAATTCTTATATATTCCAAAGGATATACTTTGGACCTATAACCTTTGGTGCCGCTAGATTTCCTCTTAATTGTTTTGCGAGATGAGCTTCAAGGGGTAGAAGATGGTCTGGATCAAAACATAGTCTTTTGGTAGCTTTTTTGAATATATACCGGTTCTGAGCTAAGTCCTCTTGTTCTTGGTCAGACTACCAAACATTCTTCCTCGAAAATTTGACCCTATCACCGAAAGAATTCAATTCGGAAAACATATAATTGTTCTTGATTTCTTAGGATTTGGAAACAGAAAAGTCTTATGATGGGCATATACTTGTTACGGACTCATTAGTGCTAAAGATAATAGGAAGTCAAATATTAGGTCAGAGCATAATCAGCAACTGTTAAAGTGGTTGTAATTAGTTAGTTAAATTTATTTAGATTAATTTTAGTTTATCACTATTAGAGTAGTTAATTATGATTAGATCTTATATATAAATACCAAATTTCTCATTAATAAAAAAAAATTGTTTATTTTTCTCAATCCTCAATATTCCTTCTCTCTCTTGCACTCTATGTCTGTAAAATTGCCTCTGATTGATAAGGAGAGTTTCACCATTTTTCTTCAATTTCTGGATAGTTTCAAGCTTTAACATGGTATTAAAGCAACATCATGTATTTTAATTCTATTTTCCCTCACCATTCTTCTCCAAATCGATGAACAGAGAGGAGCCATAAATTGAGGTCTGTCAAGTATCAAGGAAAGAAAATGAGATTCTAGTTTGAGTCACTTACAAAAATATTTCAGAATGAATACCACAACTGAATCAGTAGTAATTGAGAACTTTTTGCTATTCCATTCTACCTCTACCCAAGAAAAAGCCCGTCTCTTCAACTCACAACTATGACACTCACAGAAAACAATTTCTATTCATGGTCTCGGAGCTTCTTGCTAGTTCGTTCTACCTCCACCCGAGTGAAAGCCCGTCTCTTCAACTCACAACTATAACACTCACAGGTAATAATTTCTATTCATGGTCTCGAACGATGAAGAGAGTCCTTATTACCAAAAATAAATAGGAGTTCGTAGATGTAACTATTCAAATTTCGAATACGGACGATCCGATATATAAATTTTGGGAGAGATACAACACCATAGTATTGACTTAGATAACGAGAAGTGTTATTTTAATTGATCATGCTAAGGACCTGTGGAAGGACCTATATGATCACTTTGCTCAAGGAGATTTAATAAGAGTTTCGAATTTGCAGTAAGAGTTTCGAATTTGCAGGAAGAGTTAAATAATCTAAAGCAAGAAAGCTATTCTATAACACAATATTTTACACACATGAAAGTACTTTGGAATGAACTGCATAATCTTTGTCCGACACCAATATGCAAATTTGTTATTAAGCGTGCTTGTGATGCTAAATCAATTTTTAGAAAGTACCAAGAAGAAGACAAAATCATAAAGTTTTTAAAAGGGTTGAATGAAATATTTAGTGTGATCAAATCTTAGATTCTATTAATAGTACCTCTGCTACATCTAAGTAAGGTATGTTCTCTTTGGTGATACAACATGAGAAAAGTACAAATGTTGAAACACCAAATGATTATTACAACTGAACATCATAGTGGAATATACCATCTATAATTTCTGAGAACTGAGAGCATTGCTGCTGTTAATAATATTTGTAAGAATAATTCTAGCAAACATTCTCATGTTGTCAATAATGAAACCTTATGATATTTTTGTCTTGAACACCCTTCTTTGCCAAGACTTAATGTACTACATAAACTTGATACTTCCATCATACTTGGTTCAAACTTTGTCGGTGATACTTGTCACTATGCAAACAAAAAAAAACTTTCTTTTCTAATGAGTAATTCGAAAACTACATACTACTTTGATTTGATACATCTTGACATGTAGGGTCTAATTTCCATTGTTTCCTTATATGGACACCATTATTTTGTTACTATTGTTGATGATAAAAGTAGATATATTTGGTTATTTTTCATGAGGACAAAAGGAGAAACAAGAAAAATTATTATTCATTTCTTTACATATGTAGAAGTACAATTCAATAAGAGAATCAAGTGCGTAAGATCAGACAATGACAAAGAATTTGACATGCCAGAATTTTATGCTGAAAAAAGGGTTATTTATCAAAATTTATGTCCCTATATACCACAACAAAACAATGTGGTGAAAAGAAAATATTAACACATTTTAAATGAAGCAAGGGCTCTGTGGTAAACACATCTTCCAACAAAATTTTGGGCAGATTGTGTCCTTCATGCAGTTTATCTCATTAACCGAATACCTTCTCCGATCATCAATAATAGAACACCATTCGATATACTATATGATGTTCCACCAAAATTCAACCATTTGAAAGTCTTTGGTTGTCTTTTCTATGCTTCAACTCATAATATCCAACGATCTAAGTTTAATTCTCGAGCTACCAAATGTATTTTTCTTGGTTACCCTTCAAACATAAAAGGATATAAAGTCCATGATCTTGAATCTCAAAAAAAATTTGTATCCCAAGATGTAGAATTTGTCGAAAATTCTTTTCCTTTTGCCTCCCTTGAAACAGCAAATTCCAGTCTTATAAATATACCATATACTGATTCTTATTTGACAGATATTAATAGTGGCAGCTTCGGGTTCATATCTTCACAAGATGGAGTCCATAACAATTATGTTCAACCAATCACTTCTACTAATGTTTCTGATCCCCTCTTACATTTTATCATGACTTATACACTTACCAGCAACTAGACATAATATTCCTGTCATACAACAACCTACATCAGAGATATCTGAACTTATATAACATAACATACCTGATCATCCTATTATACAACCTACAGAAAATTATATACCTGCAGATAACCATACTGAACAACATTCTAATACACAACCAGTTTCAGACCAATACTCCAGGCAGAATCTTCCAACATATAAACATTCTAATAGGTCTCTAAAGCAACTATCATATTTGAAGGATTATTATTTGTATGGTCTAAAGTCCCAAGTCAAATCCAAGTCATCTACACCACATAAAATTTTAAATGTCCTTACCTATAACCATATAAATGACACCTATAAATCATTCATCTTTATCATATATAAAAAAAAGAACCCAAATCATACAATGAAGCCATCATGCATCCTTGTTGGAAAGAGGCTATGTTTGCTAAAATCCAAGCATTAGAACAAAATAATACTTGGGAAGTGACAAGGTTACCTTCTAATAAATAACTAATCAGATGTAGATGATTTTATAAAATAAAAAGAAAAGCTGATGGGTCTACTGAGAGGCATAAAGCCCGACTAGTTGCAGAAGGTTATACATAATAATCGGATATTGATTGTCTTGATACTTTCTCCCCAATAGCAAAGCTAACAACAATAAGAATGTTACTTGCAATGGCTACTTCCAAAAATTGGTTTTTACATCCATTATATATTAACAATATTTTTTTCCATGATGATCTTCATGAAGAAGTATACATGACACTTCCACCCAAATTTCAAACTGCTGTAGGCAATCAGGTATGTAGATTAAAGAAAAGTCTTTATGGGCTTAAACAAGCAATCCGACAATGACATTTCAAACTTACTGAAGCCTTGAAAACTCAAAGTTTCAAACAAGCTCATTCTGACTCTTTTTTATTTTTTAAAAATGCATATTCATGTTTCATTACTCTTATCATATACGTTGATGATGTTACTCTTGGAAATAATGATATGCATCAGATTCAACTTGTCAAAAACTATTTGCATGAGAGATTCAAAATTAAAGATCTTGGTGAGCTCAAATTCTTTTTAGGTTTGGAAGTAGCTCGTTCTGCTACAGGAATCAACATATGTTAGCGCAAATATAAATTAGACTTGCTACATAATACTGGATTTTTGGGTTGCAAATCTGCACCTACACCTATAAATACCTCAATCAAATTATGCAAACAAGATGGTTCACCTTTAATTGATTCTATTTCTTATAGACGCCTTATTGACAAACTTATATATCTTACTAACACTAGACCAGATATATCTTTTACAGTTCAACAACTATCTCAATTTTTAGATTCACCAACATAACGTCTACAAGCAACACATTGGGTCCTACACTATTTGAAGAGCGCACCAGAACAGGGACTATTCTATCATTCTCAAAACTCTTTACATCTAAAAGCCTTTAATGATTCTAATTGGGCTTCTTGCATTGATTCAAGGAAGTCTATAACCGGATTTTATGTATTTTTAGGTGATGTCTTGATATCTTGGAAAACAAAGAAACAACAAACGATCTTCAGATCATCGACAAAAGCTGAATATCGTGCTATAGCAGCAGTGACGTGTGAACTTCAATGGCTTCGGTATGTATTTCAAGACTTGCAAATTCCTTACAAAACAACAACATTATATTGTGACAACCAATCAACAATTCGAATTGCTAAAAACTCTGTCTTTCATGAACGTACAAAACACATAAAAATTGGTTGTCATTTAATTCAACAAAAACTTTTTAATGGGCTTATACATTTGCTACATGTTTCTTCAAGTCTTCAATTAGCTGATTGTTTTGCAAAAGTTCTTCCTATTTCAACATTTCAAAATGCTATCATCAAGCTGGGTATACAAAATATATATACTCCAATTTAAGGGGGGACTAATAGGAAGTCATATCTTAGATCAAAATATAGTCAGCAGCTGTTAAAGTGATAATAATTAGTTGGTTAAGTTTATTTAGATTAGTTTTAGTTAACCACTATTAGAGCAGTTAATTGTGATTAGACCTTATATATAAATACTTAATTTCTCATTAATAACAAAAAGTTGTTCATTTTTCTCAACTCCCAATATTCATCCTCTCTCTTGCACTCTGTCTGTAAAATTTCCTCAGATTGACAGGGAGAGTCTGCACCATTTTTCTTCAATTTCTAGATAGTTTCAAGCTTTAACAAAAGAGAGGAATATGGTCAGCCCAAGTTCTTGTGAAGATTTGAGAATATGTTTTATTATCATACCAATAGAAACAAGGGCAAGTTACATACAATCTTTCTCTTCTTTTGTGTTCTTTTTGTTTTTTTTTTGAAAAAAATGAACACTCAGTTTTTCTTTCAACTATTAAACATGAATGCGTAGAAAAAAAACATGGAAAAGAGATGGCGGATGAAACACATCAATATTGGGGTTTACTGCAAAAGTTAGACCCAATAAGATCCACAGTTACCAAAATGCTATATGTCTATGAAGTCAATAAATTGTATTGACATAAATGTTCTATGTTAAGAAATCCATATGCCTTTGAATGTCAAAGCTTTGGAGGAGAAAAGATGATTATTTGATTTTCTTAAAGTGCTCTCACCAGGCATTTATTCTGATAATCTCTGCTAAGCCCCTTGAAGAGAATTTGAAAGGATTGTTTCTGCCAAAACCAGCAAACAGTAGCCAGAAGCACTTGAGATCAAGAAGTTGGTGGCTTTCGACGCTTGTCTACATCAAAGTGAACATCCAGGAGGCCTGTTATTCCAGCAGTTATCTTTTGGCCTACTTTCACAGGGCCAACACCTTCCGGAGTGCCTACCAAAACCATGATATAAGTTAATCCAAAAAAACTGAATCCAAGTACAACCACGAAGTCATCTAACAGTAATTTTAAACAGGAAGGTGAAGAAAACCAGTGGCTACAAAATACTATTTATTAACTGGTGTAACAGTAAGGTCAAACAGATGCCAAAGAAAGAAAAAAAATTAAGGCTTATGAAGAAAGGAATGCTCTCTTCAAAAAAACAAAAAAAAAAGGTATGCTAGAGCCTGAATCTGCACTCTACTCCAAACCACACGGATGGAATGATGAAGAGGTTCATCTGTAATATCACAATATAAGGCAGTAGAAGCTATTTGCCTATATTTTATCTTAAGTACATCTATAATTAAGTTCAAGTCCTACATTTATGCAATCAAACCTCAGAAAGAACCTCGTACATCAGAAAGGAAAGTAGGCAAAAAGGTAATACAGTTTCCCTTGTGTCAGATGTCTCAAGAACTTGTATTATCAGAAACCTGAATTTATTATTCAATCTATAACAAGAAAATGGTAAAAACCAAAAAAGTCAATACCTGTTAATATAACGTCTCCTTCAAAAAGTGTCATGATAGAACTTATATGGCTAATGAGATATGGAATCTTAAAAATCATATCTTTTGTGGAGCCCTTCTGTCGTACTTCACCATCAACCTGTCATTTAATAGTTCCACTTAACTTCTTCCGTTGGAATGATGAATTCATGGAAACAAACGAGAGTACAGAGGAAATGGCTATAGAACCTTTAGCCAGAGTTCAAGGTTATCAGGGTCAGGCACCATCGATTTCGGGAGCTGCATACACTTCTAATGTGAGATTTTGTATTATTGACTGAATCTATACAGAAGAAAAAAATAAATAGGAGATCTCCCGCCTTTGAATCAAATGTATACAAAGAAGATGACTGAGCACATGATCACATGATCAGGACACGAGATGACTGAGCACTTATTCTCTTATTAACAGGGGTGTACTCATATATTTCAAAGGTGAATTTGTGAAGCTTCCTCTCAACTGCAATCACAGGCTGTTGATAGTTGCCCTTAGTAAGCCCCATATTTTGAGCTTAATTTAGTTACCTAGCTTTCAACTAATCACAGCATCATGAAAGTTTTGGATAGACAGAGAGTTAAAAGAAGACATTTGTATCTCTTACAACAGAGCTAATCGGTGTAAACGTGTCCTGCCCTTTAGAGACTGTCCAAGGAAGACCACCAGCCTGATAAATAGGATAAAATTAAGAGAATATCAGTTTTGGAGAAACACAATAAATTTTCAGATAGCTTTGGTTTTGACTTGCTATGAAAAAACAAGAGAAAAAAGCAAGGGTAAAACAATATGATTCCTGCAAAAGTATATGAAGTTTTGTATTTACAAAGTTTCAGTCTACTGGAACGAGGGCAGATTACAAAAAAGGTTACAGTAACATGATCTTATATACCTAAACTGACTTCAAAATAGTTTATTTTGGGCACCCATATTTAACAGTCTAATTTTAACACTTGGTCATAGTGCGATAAATGTGGAAGTACGAGGTTATCAATTTATGGCCTTCCTTAAGAAGTTCAAGGCACCCATACCTAGGGTGAAACAAAACATTCAAAACTATGAGAAAGAACCCAAGGAAGATAATACTCATAAAAGATCTAGACATATCACAAGAAAACAGATCATAACCCTTTAATAAGAAAAGTCTACCTTTGCAAAATTCATGTGACAAGAAGATCTACCTTTGCAACAGACTGAATTTCTCTGGCAGTCATATCCAGTGCAACAGCATAGCCTGCAGTCCCAAATTAGACATATATCCACTGAATCACAAGCTCAAAGAGAATCAAAACGCAGTAAATTAACAACATAAAACATAAAACATAAAACACAAAAACAATTAAGCAACATTCCGATCAGATTTCAACATATTTATAGCCTAACAGAGACATCGAATTGCTATAAAGATTATTTCATCAAGGCGACAAAAACAATTCCGGCTACAATAAACAAAAACGAACAACAGAAATGGAATTGAAGTTGTAATAGAGAAAAATAGGTACAACATTCATGACTCTATAAGGATGGCAGGGAAGAAAATACCTCCCACATAATCCATGGCAGAGGATTGAGGTACATCACGAGCTTTCTGACCGATCACGACTGCGAGCTCAACCTCGTAATGAAGCGATTCCAACGGATGTGGAACCTCAATCGTACCGCCGTTCTCTAAGTACGACGACGTCGGTTTCAGAAACAAAACAGGCTCCTGTTTCCATGAAGGTAATTAGAATATAACAGCAAACCAGATCGACTGCAATTCGACATCTGCCGGCAATGGGAAATTACCTTAGGAACAGCGTTTCCGAGTTCTTTGGCATGGGCGGCGTAGTTACGCCCGACGGCGACGATCTTGGTGCCTATATTTAGGAGCTTGTGTAAACCCGATGTCGCCATGTGTATTGAGTAATAGAAAGTTTCTGATTAGACTACAGTTTGCTTCCCTGTTCCGTCAATTTATAAAAAGAGAGATCGTTCTGGAGTATAGCAATGGAGGAGGGTCGGAGATGGTCTTTGAATTGAATTGTTTAGGGAATGATTCTGGGCCGACGCCATCGCCACTGACCATACCGTATTTCATTTTAACCCGTTTAAATTGGGAAGACACCCGCTATGGTATCTCATTTTACTTCACCTTTTACTTAAATATTTTCTTGGAGTATAAACAAAATTATATTTTTAATTATAACAAAAATTCATACATTTTATTAATTAAATATAATTAATACGGTATTAAAATTAAATCCAATCAACTTAACTGATAAATCAAACCAATTTAAGAAAATCAGTTATGTTAATTGAGTAGTTTAATTAATTTAATCTAAATACAACAGAGAGGTTAGATGTTTAAAAAAGAGTCTAGCTTTTTAGTAAAGTAAATGTCTATGGTGAATACAGACAAAAAGAAACTAAATAATGATGATCAGTGTATATCATAGCACAACCGTCACATATGTTTTGGCAACAGTTTTCTCAAGTACATTTTAACTATGAACATAAAGTAGGTTATATATATATATATATATGTATATACCAAGGTTTACATTACAGTTTGCACTTTTTCAATCTCAAGTGGGATGAGATCAAGCCTAGGGCTAGGAGCCTGATGACTCTGTTCTTCAGAAGAAGATGATCCAGAGCTGGAGAACATGGCCTTGCTGGATTCTCCTATAGCCCTGATAAACATAATCCAATTGTGGGTAAGCTAGAAAGTTCAAAGCAAATCATAAAATAACTTCAAATCAACCTGATCATTTTCTCCGAATTATCAATGCTGATTTATTTTGCACATCACTTGAAATCAATTATTATTATACAGACATGAAATTTAATTTAACTGCTTCTGCATAAAGAGTTACCTCCGCTGGAAGTTAGGTTGGCTACCGTGACCGAAAGGCCTTGAAAAACAACCATTGTCAGATGAATTTGCACTTGGCTGTAAAGAGGATTGTAATTGATTGAGCATCAGAAATTCAAGCCTCTATATCAACCATTTGAGTAAGACATGAATTCTCATGTAGAACATGTATATGATCATTAACAGAAATTCTCAAAAGCAATAGATAGATGTAAGGTGCTCGAGTTAGGAAGGTAACAACATAGACATTTCATCTTGGCTACTAAAGAAACACGAATTTGAGGTAAGACTCACAATTCGTTTCTTGAAACTTTGTGTTCTAAATAGCCGAGATTTCTTGCCATCGCATCTTCTCCTTTCATTCACAAGAAGAAATGCACATTTGCATGTAAAGAAAAGAAGCAGTAATCCAAGCAAAAGCACCACAAGAGATTCAATGACAACAGCTGAACCTAGTGCTGTAACCAAAAAACAGAGAAAAAGAAATAGAAAAATGTTAGTTATTAAGTCCCTGCAAACGTCTTCTTGTCCGATATTGGAGTCTTCATAACATAGAGACCAAGGTACATATAACAGAGTTGTGTGAATGTCTGATTTCCATCTATGATTAAAATCATTACTGAGTTGATCTACGTCTAAACATTCTCTCTTTTAAAATTTTCAAAACATTGACCAATACTAAAGCTAGAGAAGTTCCAAGCAGCATAGGCATACTTACAGACAGAGTTATCTAACCAAGCTATAATTTAGAAAGGGATGTATAAGTGTTGATCCTCACTTACTATGAGCTTCAAGTGAACTCATTGGCCTTCTTTTGATCAGATTTATAGTAGCCCTGGCATGTAAAGGCATAGATGTACTTTCCTTGCAATCTAAGTAGCATCCGTAGTACCCCATATCACTTAATTTCACTGTTAAAACAGCGCCATGTTCTCCACCCTGTATATAAGAAGCTTAACTGTTGATAATTTCATAAATGGACGTAAGCAGTTTGCATTCCAACGTGCCATAATATAGTTATCAGATTTTGAAACAACAATGTGACAAAACAATGCCGAAAAGACAAGGAACAGAGATTGATATATCCCAATAAGGTGCATCGAACAGGGGTTCCATTGTGCTTTTACAAGTAAATCATTAAATATACCACATAAATGTTAGGGTTCAAATGTCAAACAGTGAATTGTTCACATTTTTATTTCAAGACATCACGCGGTGAAACAGGAAGTAAGTTGCCAATTTGGAAATGGGAGAGCATGCCTTCATTCACTAGTACTACAACATGAGGGCTATAAAATGCTGCCTCTGTTAGTAACATTTAAAAAAAAAAAATTCTTCTATAGATTTGTATTACACAGGTAATCAAGACCTAAAGAATTGTAGGTAAAAATATCCCATGAGGGTAATCAAGACCTAAAGAATTGTAGGTAAAAATATCCCATGAGGGATAAGGTATCTTCTTCTATGTATCGGCCACTCACAAGGTCTATCACATTTGTTGCAGCCAAAATTTCCCATCTAACTTGCTAAAAGAAGGGATAAGGTATCTTCTTCTATGTATCGGCCACTCACAAGGTCTATCACATTTGTTGCAGCCAAAATTTCCCATCTAACTTGCTAAAGGAAGCCAACTTACATGATATAGAAGGTTCTGAATAACACTGTTGCATTGACTAATAGTTGCATGGAATCTTATTCCAGTGGCTTTGATCATAAAATGTCTGGAGATACTAACATATGTCTGCAGTGGTTGCCACTGGTAGCTGGTCTTTACCTTCAATTCGGTTGAATTAATAAGTTCTGCTGGTAGACTGGTTTGCAGAAACCCATCACTAACTTCCACAGACAATGTAACTAAGAAGAAAGATTCACCCCCTGAAATCAATTTCACCCAGTCAAGGAGGCAAAAGAGATTTCTAAAAGTCTACAGCATGGAAAAGCTAATACAGGTAAACAGGACATCAATTCCGCTGGTGTTTATCCCCATTAATGTCAAGCTAAAACAATGCAATAACTTACATTCTTAAAGGCTACATCTATTCATAATGTTAATTCCATAAATATTAAACAGGAACACATTCAAGTAAGATCGAAGTTCGAATGAAACCAGTACTCTAATTGTATCTCCAATTTAAGTTATCTTTTCCTTTCACCTGCGTTATTTTAGAAGTCATCACACAACTTTCAACGTACCAGGAAAGTTGGGAAGATCTGGATCCCCAACAAAGAACTCAAAGTTGTCCTTTTCACTATCAAAGATCAGTGATTTATCTCCATTTTCTCCCAATAGAATAGATTCCGGAGCACAAATAAATGGAGGATCATTGATAGGTTCAACAAAAACCGGGACGTCAAGTTTGTTTATTCCATTTGTGTTCCTGGTAGAAACTTGAATTGCATCGACGCCAGAAAAGTTCTCATTTCTGATTTAGTTAAGAAATAGGAAAGGGAAGCAAAAGAAGTTACAGACACATGCTTAAAAATTGTTAAGATAAACAACTGCACCTATAAAATGGGGAGATAAATAAACAGTATTAGTGAGAAAGAAATATGCAGACAAGTGACTTTGGGATCCAAGACCACAACAATAGACAGTAAAACAATGTTGGCTAAGAAAAGATGGCCGTAAATGTATTGTGGAAGATTGATGCCACACAATTGTGTATAATTGCAGATGTCACCTCATTCAACGAAGAAACAAAAGGTTGAAAACAGTAATTTTTACCCAAGATATTGAATAGACCGAAGAGCAAAATTGATTACTTCTACATGGCCCTCCAAGATCAAATGCTCTGCTTCTTCTCCTCCTTTCTTTACTGATAATCCTCTCCATATTGGCTGCCAAAATTGCATTAGCATAGGAGACAAAAAGACTGTACCAGAGACTGCCTTGACAGTTACTGAAATGTTCTCTTTCTTATCTGAGTACCTAATCTCAAACCCAGAAAAGCCACTGCAACAAGTGAGAATGTTGAAGTGAGAAAAAGCATTTCGATAATAACCATTAAAACACTATATATATTTGGTACATATACTTGAATGCCAAGGATGAAAACAACCTACCCAAATCTAGGACTAATCAGATCCTCTGTTGCTTGCAATCCACTTGGGAAGGAAACAAATTGTGGTGGGGCAGTAAGAATAGAAATGTTTACGGTGGCAGTAGCGAGGTTCCTGTTTACATCAGATATTGTGTACAAAAAAGAGTCTTTCCCAGAAAAATGTTTGTGAGGAGTATATCTAAGGAGCCTTCCATATTGGAGAAGTGAACCATGACCTGGCTGACAAAATGTAAGATATACAGTAATAGGTCATGTTTCCAAATAGATTCTTTAGTGAATTGTATTCTGAATCTTCCAGATCATATCATAAACTAAAGAAACTTATGGCATAACATGCATATGACATAACCTGATCATTGTTGGGAA